CTTCGACGTTCCACATGCAAGTATGAACATCGTTCTTTATAAGGAATTAAGAAGCAGATAGATTTATCGTGATTATAAGATTCCCATTCACATGGTGGACGCGTTAGCTCTGGCTCCAATGCCTCGATCAACATGCACATTGAAGAATAAACAATATTAAAGTCATGTGAATAGATAATATTTATATATGACTGAGAAAGGATGGATATAAATGATTTTTCAGTTGGGTACATAAGTCACACCGTCCATAATATGAAAATAACATCACTCCAATGTGAGTTATTTTTCCTTGGGCTGTTTCTTTTGTAACTCAATAAAGGCTGAATTTTTATGATGAATTCAGTAAAATGCAAAATTTAGAGTGATGGATGGAGCACCTTGCAATCATCAACAAAGCTTCTAGATGAAAATTGAATGGCCCAAAAACCAAAAAAAACAAAAACATTCGTAACGTTAATATTTAGAGTAATGCAAAATTTAGTGTTAGCTCAGAGACACTGGTGAGTGAGTGCCCAGAATGTTCGATGACTTTTAGGTTGGATTCGTAACGTTACGTACGCCTGCGATGGTGCAAGGACGCTGGCATGGCGTAACTTTGAAAATCATTCGCGTACTTTTGTGGCTTCGCTGCTCTTGAAAAGGCCGCACAAGCTTCCCAACATTGCAATCTCTCTCTCTCTCTCTCTCTCTCTCTCTCTCTCTCTATGATTTTTTATGGCTTTGACGTCTTCAGGCGTAGCGCTGTGCGAGAAATTTCAGTGGACTCTGCTTCTGCTTTGATTCATTAAGGTAACAACCCCACTCTTTTGATGGCTTCGATGTCTATGCACAAATGAGTGAAACTCTCTCTCTCTCTCCCTGAAAATTCTAAGTTCGTATCTTCACACATCGATAGATTCATTCATGGTCATTTCATTTCCGCCGAATGTCATTCACTACAATTAAATGCTTAGCATTTCTACTGTAATCTTCAGTTTAGAAATGGTTTGTCGCTTTGTTCATGGATCTCCTGCCGCTATAAGATCTAAAGCCGAAGAAAAAGACTTCAGATTGTGTGATGCGCAATAGTACTAATTAATTATAAGTTTGGAAGTTCAGTCATTAAGAGAATGGTGTGTGTTGTTTGCTTAGGGACCAAATGACTAGGAAAAGGGACAGATTTTGGGAGTATGCAGAGCAATTGAGTGGTCGCTTCAGGTGTAAATTCTGCAGACGTGATTTCCCCGGTGGAATTCCAAGGGTTAAGTCGCACTTAGCTTTCTAATTATAATGGTCATTAATGGCCAAAACTGTAGTGTAAGTGATTAAGATAATATTGTCCAAAGTAAATAACACGGTGGGGTTAATGCAAGGAATGTGCAAAGTCCAAGAGCACCGCGAAAAGAGAAAAGCCATGCTACAGAGTTTAGCTACAGTATAATCCTACACAGTATATTAATCTTATTACAGATTCAAGTTTCAATCTTATGTACATGATCATGCTAATAAGCATTAAAAAGAGTATAAAAAATCAAACCTTCGCAAAACTTATTTATATAAATAATCATTCAAATGGTTATTTGATATAAGTACCAATCCATGTGTGAGATGAACTTCACTTCTTCGAGTTCATGTGTCCAAGCAACTCGAAAAACATCGCCGTATTTAAGTGTCGCAGCGAATTTGCTCCTATACAAGTGTGGCAGCCAATCTTCTTCTATCTCAAAATGCTGCATAAAATGTGTTTTTGGGTAGCCGATGACTTCGGAATGTCAAACTTTTTCAAACAAGATGGAATTTCTCCAGAAAGATAATTATACGAAAGATCCATTATGATCATATCTTGGAGCTGACATATTTGTGGAGGGATTGAACTTTCAAAAAAAATATTATTTCCTTTCAGAAGAAATATATAATAAAATTTTTAATAACAATTAATAAAAAAAAGGAAAGAAAAAAAAAGGGCTCCAATTCGGTCGTAATTGGAAGGGCCTTGTCCGATTCGCGCAGCCCAGAGCTCATCCACAAGAGCGGCCCAGGCCACCAGACGCACGCAGTCATCACAGAGAGCACGTACGCAAAGAACAGAGCACGGGCACAAGGGGAGCTCGGGGGAGAAAATTCTCTCTCAGAGAATCGGTTTCCGGAGGATTCTCCATCTTCATTCCCTCTCGGTAGCGTCACTCACAACCACCGGCAGCCGCCTGATCGCCACCAGTTACGCCGCGGTGAAGAGGCTCCGTTCGCTCCTTTTTCAAAATCATCGCTGCTGCCGAAGTATTCAATCTAGGTCTATTCCTCCCTTTGACGGTTCTAGGTCCCGGCGTTTCTGTCCATTACGATCTCTTTCCTTCAGGCGATCATCAATCTCGTCCAGAGACGGCTCTGGCAACGTATCCATCTTCTATGCTCTGTTTTGGCTTCAGCTGAGCATGTTTCACTGCATGATCGTTTATTGCCTGTCCTCCGATTCGTCGATTCTGTCTCTGATAATGTTTAAATGAACACCTCACTTTATACTCCTCACCGATGGTTTGTTGAATGTTCTGTCCCGAGCACTTCGAATTTCATGTTCATCAGGTGTTCGATGTTTTGCCCAACTGACTTCCAGTATTGATTTGCTTCTGTTATCAGTCAATCTGAGAGTATTCTAGTGCGATTTTCATGGTTATTATTTGACGCATCGATCCTAAGATATGATTCCCGATTTGTTGCTTGCTGGTCGAGAACCATCACGCATGAGGCCAGTCCAATCTCGGTCATTCTCTATATTGGCGTCAAGCTTTGAACATCTGCTTGCTCCTGTACATGTTGAGATCTTGCCTCTCGCCTTGAGTTTATGTACACCGGATTTGTTTCGCAAGAGAGAGAAGGTGAATGCGAATCGGAGCATTCGAGAGAGTTTGGGTTTGGATTTTCTCGTTCGTTGTTATGAAAGAGCATATAATAGTTAATCAACCAGCTTCGTTTGAATTCTCTACTGTTTGTTGGTGGTGGACTCCTGAAAGGTACACTTATAATCGGATTTGGCTTTTCTGGTTCGTCGTTCTGAAAATCACGCAGGCCTTCTGTTTTTTCGTTTTCGAGTTTCGCTTGGTGATTATCTTTTTGTAGGTAGTTTTTCTTTAGCTAGAATTAGATTTTGACTCCGACTTTGAAACTAGCTCACGAGTTCATATATCCCGGACCTCAAATGATAAAAGTTATGTATATTATTTGCTCAACTCATATCATGTTCATTTACTGTGCTTTATATTTTGTCGTTCTTTATGTGTTTGAGTAATATAAGGTTTTAAGTTTAGCTAGCGGAATTTTTAACCCCGGGCTCATAACAAGTCCATGTATGTTTTTTCGCATTTTGCTTTCATAATCTATTCTTTTGTGCTTTATCTCGTTTGGCATGTGTCTTTTATTTTGATTGATTTGATATGATTATTGACTCGTATGATTGATTGAAAAATGCTTTTGCCAATAACCATCATAAGACATTTAAATAGAACATACCTAGCGACTTAAAATGAAAAAAAACGCGTAACTCGCGTTTTTTGCATTAAAATGAGTTAGGTACCAAAACAGCGCTAATTAAATGCTAGTATAATCAAGTAACCAAACTTGGATTTTTCTAGCTTTTCTCCTATTTGGCTCAAATAGGCCAGTGAGGACTCCAAATTAGATAAGATCTCATCGTTTAATCAAAACCGAATCATCCAATGTCGTGCACCGTAGGATTTCGGAGAACTCTTAGTCTATATTTGGTAGTCGGGATAAAATTTAGCATAGGATAAATTTTATTATATCCTGTGTTTGATGCCTGTCCAAGACAGAATAAAGTCGGATATAGGAGGGATATAGCTGAGATAAAATTATCCCACGAGAGAGGTGAAATAAAGGTGGATATGATTTATAATATCCATAATATAAAATTTATTTTTCTTGAACAACAAGCTTGTTAAATTAATAAAATTAAAATAATATTTGAATATAAATAATATTTTAATTTTAATATAAAAATTCAACATAACAATACATCATTTTTATTTATTCTTAATTTTATTTAAATATTCAAAAAAATTTATATCTTATGATATAAATTTCATATCTATATAAATAAATACATTTAGTATTTATATTTATTATATATTTTAGGTATATTAGTGTAGTTTACTATTTAAGAAAAATTTATTAGAAAATGATGGAAGGGGAAAAAAGAAATAAAAAAAGGAAAGAATTATAAAAGAGAGGGAAAAATAATAAAAAATAAGCAAATAAAAATGAAATGGATAAGAGTGTCACGAGAGATTTTTATTATCTCCGTTTGTGCAATTTTTAGGTTCATTTATACCGATATGACATTCATTGAAAATACGTACATCGTAAGATATGAAAATACCCAACTTTATTACAGTAATTCACTAAATAGTAGATAGGATATAACAAATTCTTTGGATTTCATATCCTGTCTTATTCAGTCCTACCCTAATTAAAAATCTAGACAACCAAACGCAGTCTCGTTGAACGAGAGCAGGCACCTCGAATAGAGGGACTGCTCGTTCCCGTTGGACATATCACTAAACCCACTCCCCTCAAGAGAGCCATGAGGGAGGATTGCGACAAGTTCTTCATCAAGTAAATCACAAAGGTGGGGCTCAAGTTGTAGACCAGTGGTCCAGCAATTGGGATATTGCTGTCATCCTAGCTACAATCCATGCCTTTATCCTCAAATTGGAGAAATTTGCAGTGCCCAATACTTTATGTTAGTAGGATTCTTGAAACAGTAAAACCTGATTGGTTTGATGTTGGCGGTTGCAGCCATCAGATGATTCACATTTGGTGTAACATTTACAAAAATTTATGAATGCTGGATTGATTTTGGTTGTAAATAAACTATCGTTTCTGAATTCTCAACCAGATCAAATCTCCTAATATTCAAATTAGCATGACAAGGAATACAATACAAACACTATAGGAGTCAAGCATTCAAAATTCATAATCGAGACTCAAAATGCTTACAATCCTATTAAACAAAAGTTCTCCACCGTTCATCGTATTATTTCATCACAAAATGCTTAGAAGAACATTATCTACTGGGGAAATGATGGGATAAACTTACGAACGAGCCCGAATAGCACGTACCGATAGTGCGAGTTTAGATGGAGAAAAAGAATCACCCCAAAGAACGCCACTACATATGATCCTGCAAAACTCCACAAGAAGGCTTCTCTCCAGGAATCGTCCTCTCTGGTATAATTAAAAGATGGCAGTGTCTCCCATTTCTGATTTGAGCCATGACAACTTGTTAATGGTGGTCCACAAAGAAGAGGATTACCTTCATAACTTGCTTCCCGAAAAGTTCCAAATTGATTTTTTTGATCTGGTGTCTTGCCTGATAAGTTATTGTGAGCCACACTAAAATCTGATAGCGCGTAAAGCTCTATTAGTTGTGGAGGGATGGGACCGGTTAAGTTGTTGTAGGAGAGGTCCAAGCTCTCTACATTCTTCAAATTGGAAAATTTTTCCGGGATCGGTCCTGTCAAATGATTGTGTGACAGGTTCAATGAGAGAAGTTCACTCAAGTAGCCGACTTCTGGAGGAATATACCCTGTCAAATTGTTCTGCGAGAGATCCATTCCCGACATGAGTTTTAGAATATTGCCCATATAAGATTCCAACCTTCTCTTTGTCATGAAGTTCACTTCTTCTAATCCATTCGTATAAGTATATGTGTCATCTTCTTTTCGAAGATACAATAAACGGTAATCGACCTTGTAGTGTGATTCCCATGCCTCTTCCCAGCTTACCATGTAAGAAGATCTGGACATAGGATTCCCAAAGCTTCCGAACGTCAAATCGTTCAAACAAGAATGAATATTTCCAGAAAGATTATTATTGGAGAGATCTAATATGCTCATGTTTTTCAATAGACATAGATCCAAAGGGATTGAACCTTCAAAATTGTTTCCTTGCAATAGAAGAACCTTCAACTTGTGAAACGAACCGATCCAGCTAGGGATCTCACCTGATAGTGCATTATGTCTAAGATCCAATGTGACCATATTTGAAGCTCTAGAAAGAAACTTAGGAAACTGCCCAGCAAGCGTGTTATTAGTTAAATGCAAGAACCTCAAAGTAAGTGTAAAATTGACACAAGGGGGTATATTTGGCCCAAGGTTGTTACTTGAAAGGTCCAAATAATCGAAATACAGTAACTTGCAAAAGCTCAATGGTAAAGGACCTTCGAATAAATTACTCGACAAGATAAGCGCATGACTACTAATATCTCCAATCCAATTGGGAAGTGTTCCAGATAGGAAATTATGACTTGCATCCAAAATGATCAAGGAGGAGCTATTTAATATATCAGGCGATATGTCTCCTGTGAAAAAATTATTATCCAGATGCAAATATCTCAAGTTTGTCAAGTTAGTATACCTTGGTAGCATTTGGCCTTGCAAATTGTTGTTGGACAGTTTCAATGTAGAAAGTAATGCACAACCTTTAGCCAGTGTCTTTGGTATTTCTCCTGTGAAGCCATTATTCGACAAATCCAATGCATCCAGTTTTTTCATATTGCCAATTGAGGGAGGGATTCTACCTTGCAATAAGTTGTTTGATAGGTTCAAATATCTCAAATCCGGGAGGATAGAACCAATTCGAGATGGAAGCTCTCCTTCAATAATATTAGCAGACACATCGAACCACCACATGCTGAGAAGATTCAAATTGGAAGGCAAATGAAATGGACCTGACAAATTATTGCCTGTGAGTTCGAACTGTTTTAGTAATACATTGTTGTCCAATAGCCAATTTGGAAAATTTCCTGTCATTCCATTGTGGTTGAGTTGAACACCTCTCAGGTCATGCTGTTCTTTCAGAAAGCTGGGAATTAGGCCATTTGCGTCTTTGTTGATCACACAGTTTGATAAACCAAACATCTTCAGTTGAAATGAAGGAAACCAAGTGGGCTCCTCTGTATTTACTTCCAGTCGTTTATGGTTGTCGATGAGGCGGAATACCTCAAGGTTAGAATTATTAGCCAGGGAAGCAAGAAAAAGTAAGCCTTCAAAAGCATTTCCAGAGAGCTCAATATATTCAAGTGACTTGAGATTATAGAAGAGAGATGATGGAATGGCCTCACTAAAATTGTTATTGTGAACATCAAGCACACGGAGCGAGGTCATATTGCACAAGCATGAAGGAAGAGGACCCCAAAATCCATTACGACTAATATCTAACTCTTCAAGATTCCTCAATCTGCATAAGCCTGTTAAAGTGGACATTGTAACTATGAGGATCATCACTAAATTGTACTTACACTCGAGATCATAGTTAATGTCGAGAACGGAGGATAGAAAGAGGCTATCTATATGGGGTAATACCACCAAAAATCGTAATTTGGTACACCCGTGTCACATTTAAGCAAAACTAATTTTTTGTCATAAAAAATCCAAAACCGGTACACTCCCGTCACAATTATACCCATGCCACATTTACCTTAAATTGTGTTAAAACCAGAATTTTTTAGGGCTAAATGTGGTACAGTGCCCTAGTTTGGGGTGAACGTGGCACTGATATATTGGGCCTGTTTGGTTCAACTTTGAAAATGCTACTTGGGGGAACGCAAATACCTTTGGGTGAAAGCCCATTGGGAAAATGCAAATGGTGTTTGGTAAAAATATTTTGTAAAGCTACTTTGGCCAAAATATTGTGTTTGGTGAATTTTTTTTTGCAAATGGACTTTGAGAATTATTTTATTTATTAAAAAAAAAACAACCTACCATCGCCGGAGCTGGCCGCCGGCGAGGGCCTACGGTCGCCGGCGGCGGTCGCCCGGGTCGGGCGACCCCGCCCGCCAGATCTGCCCCGCCGGCGGTCGCCCAAGGCCGGGGCGACCCTCGGCGGGTCGCGCGACCCTGTGCGACACCGCCTTGGGTCGCTCGATCCAGGCGACGCCGCCCGAGGTCGCTCGACCCGAGCGACGCCGCCGGAGGTCGCTCGACCCAGCGACGCCGCCCGAGGTCGCTCGACCCAGCGACGCGACCCTAAGGTCGCGCGACCGCCCAGGCGACGCCATCCCCAGGCGACCTCGCCGGCCCTTCTCCCTCGCCGGTCGCCCTCGCCAGTCGCCTGTGAAGAACAGCTTCAACCCAAAAAAAAAAAAAAGGTGAACGGTAGCATTCGTGGAATGCTGAAAGCCCAAGGCTGGTCCGGACCAGCCTTGGGCTTTCAGCATTTGGAATGCTAGCATTTGGCCAATGCTAGGCCAAATGCTGAACCAAACACTCCGGCATTTTGAGAAGGGGCTTTGGAGGCTCAAAGCCCCTTCCCAAAGCTGAACCAAACACCCCCATTAGTTTAGAGATTTTTGTGACATAAAAATTAGTTTAGGATAAATGTTAAGCGAGTATACTAGTTTGGGGTAAATGTGGCACTATACCAGTTTACAAGGTTTTGTGACAAAAAAATTAATTTGAGGTAAAATGTGGCATGAGCGTATTAGTTTGGGGTTTTTGGTGGTAATAACCTATCTATATATTATTCAACTCTTTCACAATTAAAGGTATCATGTTATACAATTTTTTGTAATTATCCTTTATATTTCATAATTCATATACATGCACTATCATGTTAAATAGAGCCCTTTGAAATCAACTTTTTCTTCAATAAACTGTTTGTATTAATAGATAGTTCATTATTAATATGATGATTTCATCTGTATCTGAAATATGTGTTATCAATCTTATTTAGATCATTTTAAATCATTTGTTTGTTATATATGGGCTATAAAGTCAGGTTATATTTTATGGATCTTTTAATATCATTTATTTATTGAATATAGAAAAAGTGCTTTATCAAACCGGTATCCATACTTAATTCAACTTGGTTTGTTCTTATCCACTGAAGGTTATAGGAATAATACCAAATATAAGTGTTTGTTTTTACCGGGTGTAATGTTCTAACCAAAAGAGTCATCGATAATCATGCACTTACTGTAATTCATTTATGATATTTGGCTAAACGGGTAATAAAACCCTCACAACGTATATCATTTTCATTCTATAGACTTTTTATAATAATAGGTAGTCTTTTCTATTAATTTGGCAACAGTTGATTTTTTATTTGTTAATATTCATATGTGCGTGTGGAAAATTAATAGTAATATAAACTTGCATATGTGCATGTGTATGTGTGTGTGTGTGTATACAGACACACAGACACACACACACACACACACCCACACACACACACATATCTGAATAAAATATTTTAAAATTTAAATCTTATTGTGGAATATCGTGTTTAATTTTTAGCTAATTTAAAATTTTCACTTAATTTGGTATCAAACAATTTCAAATATATTGATAATGACATAGTTCATGAGCATTAGTTTGTTGTGCTACAACTTTTTCATTTTATCTCACAATTCAAATAAAATTTTAAATAATTGATAAAGAGTTATGCTCTCTAGCTCATACTTTAATTTAATTAAGTAATATAAAGGTTGAAGATGGAAGCTTTTTGTATAGGGTGCAGGTATTTTCATGGATAAATGGCTGGATTTGTTTAAACTAAACAAAATGTACTCGTTTCATCAAATGAAAGGGATGCATACTAGAATCAGACATCAACATTATTGTGTATATTTTCAGCATAAATCTTGTCCATTCTTTTCGAATGAAGAACTTTAATGGTGCAAGGAGATACAGTAAATTGAGTCCGTTAAAGGAAAACGGCATTTTGGTCCCTCAGAGGAAAGGGCTGTGTTCCCAGCTTTCCTTTTTATCTTCATCCTCCTTTCTTTGATACGATTTTGCATAGATCACTAAGTTTGCTTTTGTTTTTCTATTTGTCTATTGATCGATGCATCCAATAGATTGGAAGACAGAACTTGAGCCTAAATATTGGAAGCAAAATTCACAAATACTGAAAAAATGCCATAGAATTTAATTAACTTTGCTCTCGGCTTAGTATTGTCAATGGAAAAGTCATTTGAAATTTAATTTTTTGCTATATTTCCACAACTTATGAAACATTTTCTTCCCCTCATCAATCTTTCAACTCCTGATTTATGATATTTTACTAAAGAAATAAATATTAGAATTTAGTAAACGTGAGCTCCTCTTTTATTTCACATCTACTCCGATTGGCATAATTTAAGAAATCATACCTACATCATCTTCTTCCAGAAACATAGCACTTTTAGTTGATTTAAACAAATATTGAGAAAATATGACATTTATTGGTAGCAATACATGGAAAAACATAATTTAAAAACATTTTTTCAAAAGAAAATGGTGTCTTTAATTTTTTTACGTTGTAGTATTCATGTACCAATTAGTTATTCTTTTGAGTTTTGAGAGAGGCACTTCTGTTCCCGCCTAACCCTATTAAACTCCCACGAGGAGCTAGTAGCCATTTACGAAATAATCTCTGGTTATCATATTTTGCATGCATTTAAGAGAATGGTTAGATGCACCAGATGATGGATTCAAGGATCACTATATGTCAAAACAAGTAATATACGTAGTAAGTCAAACCCGACCATTAAATAGGACAATCGTTTCCCCTAGCTAAAATATACTAAACATATCAACACAAATGTGGCACTACTATTGATGAATCGTATACATAGTGATGGTAGTGATAATGTTGAAGAAACTGGATTTGCATATATGCTTTTAATATATGAAAGAGACGCATGGAAAATCCATTGCAAAACTTGATATCAGTATAATATAGTAATCGGGAATTTGAGACAAGTTCAATAGGAAGAAATATAAAATCATAACTGGGTAAAAGATGAAAATTGTCATACTAAAAGAATAATTTCATAAATTATTCGTTCTAAGTGGATATTTTAAAGGAAAAAAAAATCAATTTTGGATAATTTCCTATCAAGACAATCAAACAAAATTTTACAACAAATGAAAAATCAAAGATTTGTGAAATGCATGAATTCTACTAATGACACATGCAGAAGTTTGACCACCATTTGGATCTAATCCGTAAACTTAAGATATTGTTTGATTTTGATTCCTGATTAACTTTTACATATAATTATAATTCTTGGACAAATTTTGAACTCGTACAGTATATTGTTATTTTGGACTATTTGTATCTTTTTAGCAATAACTCCTTGTATCTGTTATGGCATCACACTATTGTTCAGATTGGTCGAGAAAAAAAGTTATGTAAAAGTAAAAGCATGGGGACTAAACTTCAATCTTCAAAGATCAGAGACTAAATTGAAACTGATCCAACTTTTAAGGATGCCACAATCATGACATACATTTACTTATGGCTTTCATAGGCATTTAACTAAATCTTTCCAACTTCAAGCATAGGTCAAACAGCTATATGTGCTTTTGTGATTAGCACTTATCTAAATATAAGTCCATGGCGCTTAGTAATTTAAAGAATTTGTGCGGCCAAAATATGATCTCTGGAGAACATCGAATATAGTGCAGTCATGCCTTTTATGTTCAAGACTATCTCACCTTATCTTATTTTGAAGAGGTGATAACCGAAAGCATTTTCAGAGAATTACCTTCCAAAAACTTTGAAGCATTCAATCCACAACCATTGATGTATAAGGCCTTAAGAGATGTCATCCTCGTAATGTCCGCAAGGGAATCATTGGCTAATTTGTTATTCGAAAGATCCAGCACCTCCAGATTCACACCTGTGATTGATAGAAGGTTTTCAAAATTGAACCATCTAATATCAAGGCATGATTTTATATCTTACACGTACCTTCAAGCTGGATGGAAGACGAAATTTGGGCCTCCACTGAAGTTTGCTTGTACCATGAGGGGACTCGTTCCAAATAATTAGAAGATAGATATAGCCTCTTCAATCGCCTCAAGTGTAGAGTTCCATTTAAATCTGATTATGGAAAGATCCATGCATACCCAATAGTTAATAAATTATCTACAGATATCAGATTTCCAATCATCTTCAATTTTTTGAGAATAACTATATGCTCGTGATGAGGAGCTTTATTGGTAATGCATATATGAACATGGACAGTGAAGCTCAAAATGGAGTTGCATCGAGAACTCTTGAGATAGCAGGTGTTAGTGCAATAATCGACTTAAATGGTGCTTGCATTGAGTTAGAACCTACAGAGCCAATCGATGTAGTAGCCGCTAGATATGAGTTCAATCTCTTGACAAGTGTGGATGAATATTGCTTTTGCTTTATCTGTGATAGATGAGATTGAATATGGAAATTCTTGTAGAATAGATAAAAGTGCAAGTAGATTTGATGTTCTGATAAG